GCAATGGGCATTAGTTAACAAGCATCAGTTAACAAGTCTGCACTGTACAAGTTGTAAGCATAAAGGTTTCACTGCCCTGTAGCTCCGCTTGCCTTATTTACCCCGCCCTCACACCCTTGAGCCTAGACGTATCGGCCAGCCAAGGATCTCTCTGAAGAGGTCTAGTCTGCAGAAGCTGATGCTGCTCTGCAATTGCATGCAGAGCAATCCTGCCATTTTTAGCAAAGGGAAATCCTATTGAATTCAATGGCACTTCCCCCTAGGAAGCATGTTTCAGACACTGGATTGTCAAGGTACAATCATGTGCAATTTTAATCAGAAAAAAGCGGGGTATGCTGTGAGCTGTAGGCCTTTTTTTCTTCTAAACTCACATCAGAGGTACCCTAAGGTGGAACAAGGCTCTGGGTTGTTTTTATAGTCTTTAGGTTGTGCTGCTATTTTGTGTTTGAATATCCCATTTGACTTCTCATTGCGATTTTTCAAGATGCAGTTGTTTCAAGATAGGGTGTTCAGATTTTTCTACCTGCCTTAGGTATGATTTCATAATATAATTTTATATAGAAAGGTGGGATAAAAATACTTTACGCCAAAGGTGTTGTATACATTGTGTATGGGGTGCAGTGGGAGGTGCTGTGTGTTGACATCAGTCAATAATTCCCCCCCCCCACACACACACACACAAATCACCCTGTGAAATGGGAGGGCACATTCCCTTACAAAAAAAGCTCTTCCCATGAACCAAAGGGTTGCTCACCCACAAACAACTGATCAGTGCAAGGCACAAGCTGGGTTTTTTTTTTTTTTTTTTTTTTGTCTTATGGGCTAAAGGTGTGGCTCTGATCGCTGCTAGCCACTTCTCCTTCAGTAGCCAAAAGAGCATCAGTTGGCTTAGGGGAATGTCAGGTTTGAAAAGCAGCAAAAACAGTCCTATGAAAATTGTGTATGTGTTGGGGAGGAATGCTTGGAATCCTGAACAGCAAAATATTGCAACATTCTGCTGCAGGTTGGCACCCTTGTGCAAAGCGCTAGTCTAGTGCAGGGCATCTTAGTCACCTTCTCTCAGCCCAGCCTACCTCACAGGGCTGTTGTTGTGGGATAAGATCGAGAGCAGCAGGAGGAGATTGGTGTACGTTGCCTTGAGTTCTTTAAAAAAGAATATAGGTGGGATATAAATCTCATAAATGAATACAATTTAATGGAGATCTGGAGATAAATGTGTAAGCTGGCCTTTTGTTCCTAGGACAAAGGGTAGGGTAAACATGTTCGTTCTCGTCTAGTGTTACTTACCTTGTTGCGATTGGAGCAACTTTTCAACCATTCCTTCTGGCTGGCCTTGATGTGAAAAGAGACGGCTGGAAAGCCAAACCACCTAGCTTGGCACATCCTGGCTTTATTTTGCCGGTGGCTTTTGATGGCCGGCAAGTATCTGAACGGCTGCTTCTTTCCACTCATTGCCATTGCAACTCCCCTCTAACAAATGCACTAAGAGAAGCGTAGGAAGCAGTCATATGCCAAGTCACATGGCTGGGTCCATCCAGTGTTGTCAGCACCGCCTGGCAGCAGCTCAAGCAAGACTTTCCCTGGATTATATAGAACTCTGGGGGCTGCTTCTGCGAGTTCAGAGATCAGCTGATCCTCTCAAAGCCATGGACCTCCGTCGGATATCCCAGCTGTAGGCACAGAATGCATGTGTGTGTAAGCAAACCATATTTCTGTTCTGTTTAGTCGCAAAGTCGTGTCTGACCCATCACAGAAGGGCAGGCAGCTTGTGGAACTCCCAACATTTTGGCCTCCCATCCCATCCTGCTTCACCATTGGCTACACTGCCTAAGGGCGATGGGAGCTGTAGGCCAAAACATGTAGACTGCAAGATGCACACAACTAGCTTAGACACTTGGAATACTGATCCGGTGGGGCAGTCTAAATTCACATGGAGAGGACAATCTTGGGTTTGCTGTAATTTGCCAGTATCCCACTAGGGGGTGATTTTTGCTAATGTTATTCTCCGCTTCACATCATGCCAGGCTTCTGATTTTTCCATACAGAACTTTGGCTAGGTGAATTTCACACATTAGTTTAACTGGCACAAGCATTAAAGCCACTGTGAACAGCAGACAGGCAGTGCTGTGTGAAGAGGTGAGGGAGAATTTACTTTTCTGAAGATAAGGACATGTAAACTGTGAGGTACATTAGAGCACCGAAGGATCTAGCAAACAAAAACATGTTGCTCTCATGAGCAATTTTGGTTTGCGCTTAAACTCTATGGGGTGAGAGATGTACATGGAGCTGGGCCAGGACACTGCTTCTTGCCGCTTCTGCTTTGCACCCTTTTTCATAACAATGGAGAAGCTGTTCTGAAACCATGGACTGATGCTGGGTTAAAACGCCGGGTTGTTTGTAGGGATCTATGGAGCTTGTTAAATCTGTTCTGTCTGCATTTTATAGATTGTTGGTTACCTTTCACTACATCACTGACAAAATCAGATTTTAATTCATTTCATTAGGGAGGTAAGAGAATTTTGGTGTATTTGTGCAAGAGCACATTGGCAATCATGAGTTGTTATGCCAGATAATCTTGGGGAGCAGTACCCCTCAAAAGGAGGGGCTTGCTCTCCAGATTGCCTCAAAAGTTTTGGGGTCTTTTGCTGGGGTTTACCGCAAGCAGCCACAGCAAACAAGCTTTGGCTTGCGTTGACACAAACAAAACACTTAGAAAGGAAACAAAAGTTTATTCACCAGGAAGTACAGAGCACGCACTGCAAATAATCTGTTTGCATCTCAGTTGTACTTTATATTTCTAAAGATATAGAACCGCCTGCCTAATAGAGAGAAAGAAGCTAAGGTGTGTGTCGGGGGTGTCCATTACCTGTCCCGCAGGGTAGTTTCTCAACAACAGTCTTGTGTGTGAGCAGGAGGAGTCCAAAGCATTGACAGGCTCTGTTCAGAGCTTGCTTCCCTCTTCCTGCTATGTTCCGAGCACGTCTTCTGTGTGTGTCTCTTCATCTGAGTCTCTAATCCTCATGCTATTTCTCTCTGCACATGTGTCTGTGGAAAAGATGAGTTTCCCAGGCTTCTGCTAATGGACGGAAATGTACTTGATGGCTTATTGATGGCCTGTTTCTCTGGGCAAGAGGCGAGTTCTTTGTGTTTGCTGGGTGCTTTGGATGAGGTCGTTCCGAGGTGTCCCAGGATACCGGATCACACCCCTTGCAGGGCCGTTTTGCCTAATCTCTTTCGGGGGAAACGCCTGGCCTTTTCTGCACAACAGTTCCGGCACTCCTCCTCTCACACTGGCTAGTCCGCGATCCTGGACTCAAGCCTACTCAACATGGCCCATGGCCTAGAAGCTCGTTCTCCCTGGGAGCTTATTGTTATGGCACTGATACTGATGTAGCCAGGTGTTACAGCATATTTGTTCACCTGTGCATTAGTGCAAGGGTGCACTTGCACCCCTCAAAGCAAAAAAACTAAAACTAAAAAGATGTGTAAGTGAATGGAATCCACACAACTTGGAAAAAGATGGTGCTGAAGAGTCTACAGGTCAGATTCAGCGCAATCCATTATAGATTTCTCACTTTGCCAGGTGTTTGTCCCCAAACATTCCAGAGTTCTGGCTTGGATCTTACAGCTTTCTGGGTTGCTTAAAAGGAGATATAGAGCAGAGGTGGAGAGCAGACTGGAGGCCATGTGCTCGCTTGCTCTGTCACAGACCCACCAGTTCATGGGCTAACGCTCTTACTTTAGCTTGCCTGGGCTTTTTGTGGCCTGTGCATTGACTATGACCAAGAGGTGGCCAGTTGTTCTAAAAGCATCACTGGACCGTATCTCAGTTTATAGTTGCTTGGCACGGTTGGAAACCATATCATGCTTCATGTTTAAAAGGACTATGTATTGCTGCAGCCACCAACTGAGCTCATGGGTGGGACCGCAGTGGGAACGAGTTCCCAGCAGGTGCCCAGTGCTGGTGTTCAGCCTGGTGATCAATGCATAGCATTCCCAGATGTGGCTTTCTTAATGTATGCTGAGAAGGCCTTTCGATTCTGAGTTTTACAGTGGAAAGTTACACTCATCTATATTTACCTAGGAGCAAGGATGTACCATTTGATCCAGTTTGTGGACTGGAGGGGTCTTTTATTCCATCATCTGCTCATTGACCAAAGTGGACTATATAAGCAAGAATTTTCCTCCTGTTTGTGCTTTTGCCCCCCCCCTTCCTCCTCCTCCTCCTCCTCCTCCAAGATTTTTTCCAATGGTCCATGAGTCTGTGAAATCCCTGCAACTCTGAAAAAGCCAGTCCTCTGAAGGTTGTATTTTTAGAAACCTGAACTCATGGGGATCCGTTGCAGATTTCTTCATCATCCCTACCTGGGAGCCCCCCTTCTGAACACCATGCGACGACTTGAGTCAACATGCATAAGCTGGCAATGTAAATAATTCGACAGCTGCTGCTGCTGTTTTTATTTCCCCTTGCATTTTAAATAGCTATTATTAGTATTATTTTTAAATGGATGACTGTGAACTGCCTCAAACTTGTGGAGAGATAATAGAGCTAAAAAGAGAGCATCTTAAAGAAAGGAGCAGCAGCATAAGCTTCACCTGCTTCTCGGCTCCCCCCACCCGCACCTGCTGCCAATTCACGCGTGACTCGTGGCGTGCCCACAGCCTCTCCCTTGCGCTCCCATTAGAATTCCGTGCCCCGGGGCGGGAGGGGGAAAAACTCTGCACGTGCTCGGGGCGCGTCTCCTCCTGCTCTCCTCTGCCCGCTGTGCCACGGTGTCCGCAGACGCCTCGCACAGGGCAGGCGATCGAAACGCAGCTCAGGTTCCAGCCCAGGGGATTCTTCGGCTCGGGTTCCTCGAGAAACAAAAGCCCGGCGCCGGAGCCCGGCGAGGACACGCCCCCTGGAGGGGGCGGTGCTGCTCCGCCCGCCCGCCCCCGCCGGCGCACCTGCCGGGCCCACCCCCAGGAGCCCTCCCCGTCGCCCGCCCGCCCGCGCGCGCATGTGCCCGCCACCTGCTGTCGCTGCCTTCCCGGGAGTCGCGCTCACTTTCCAGGCGACCGCCGCGACCCAAGTGGAAAACAGGCACCGGGCTGGGCGCTGGCAGCCGCCGCCGCGCTGCTCGCCCCGAGGAGGACGCACAGCCATGCCTGCGGCCCGCGCCTGGCCGCTCCGGGCGGCGCTCCTCTGCGCCCTGCTCTGCGCGCACGGCGGGCTCCCGAGCCAGGCAGGTGGGTGAGAGCGCCGCGGGTCCCCCTTCCCGGTCCTGTCCTCTCGCCTCTCCCGCTGCTGCGAGCCCTGCCTGTCCCCCCCGCCCCGCGCCCCGCCCCGCGTGGGGCTCAGAGCCGGGCTCCCCCCGCCCGCCCGCCCAGGAAGGGGCGCCGAGTCTCTCCCTCGGGGGCGTGCGGGGCGCGGCTGCGCGGGCGAGCGAAGGGGAAGTTGGGGCGATCTCTCCGCCCCCGCTTCCCCGCAGGTGGGCTCGGTCGCGCGTCCCCGGCCGGGCTTGGTAACCGCACGGCCTCGGCGTGTGGGGTGGGGGGGCTGGCCGCCCCGGGCAGCGCGGAGTTGCTCAAACTCGTCCCCACCCCGCCCTCAGCGCCGCTCAACCCTCTCTGGACCTCTTGCCCAACTTGGTGTCAGCCAGGTATTTTTATTTTGGTTCTAGTTCCCAGAATGCTTGACCTTTGGCCCTGTTGGCTGGGGCTGCTGGGAGCAGAAGACCCAAACCCCTGGAGGGCACCTGCTTGATGATTTGCCGCCTCGGCAGGGTGGGTGGCTCGGTTAAGTGCGTGCTTCAAATCCCTTTCCGGCTTCTCTTGCCAGGAACAGCCCTGCTGGTCCTTTTGCGCCGGCCCCGTGTGCTCCAGCAGAAAGTCGCCTTGGGATTAACGTGTGTTCTGTGTGCGTCGCTCAGGTTCCCTCGACCTGGGGCCTCTGTGTGTTTGGGACTTCAGTTACCATCAGCCCCAGCCACCTGGGGCAAAGGCCAGGGATGCAGGTAGTTCTTGTCCAAAGCACCCAGAGGGCACCCGCTTCAAAAAGTCTGGTGTGTAGCAATAATTTGCATACCTTATCAGTAGTAATCATGGTGGGAATTAGTGGTATTTTCAGTCAAGCTCTCCTCCAAGATGTTGCTCTACAGATGGTCCCAAATGAGGTGGGCAGATGCATGAAGCCCACTTTCCACTTCTGCCTGTCCTTCCCCCATCTAATCCTCAGAACAACCCTGTGAGGTAGGTTAGAGTAGGACCATTTGGCAGAGTGAGGCTGCAGATGCTGGGCGGCTAGGAAACGTGTGTGTTAAATAGGTTAGGGTCAGGAGTACATTAACTGTGAGCCCCCTAAGCTGGCCTTCTGCTCTCTGGGGCCATGAGAAATGCTGACCCACCTCTCATGCCCTTCTCTTAAGGCAGCACAATGTCTTGGATCAGCTTTCACGGGGGACGAATGAGAGAAAGCAGCTCCCCTTACATTTCATGAGCTGCTCCAAATTTGATTGTACGATTCTCCACTCAAAGTTTCAAGTGTGATCCACTAGTCTGCATTGTATGGCTAGTTTGTGGATGCGCATTCATTACTCAGTAAGCACAACATGACATGGCATGTGTGAATCGAGCAACATGGATTTGACTGTGTTCATATAACACCCTTTTATATCACCATGGAATGATGGAGGGCTTTTAGGAGAGCACATTTGGCTGCAGGTCACCAAGAGCTGGTTCTGACATTTGATTCAGTATTATGGCATTACCTGTGATAGCAAGTATGCCCAAGCCTTGTGCGTCTCCCATCCCGCAGGTGACCATGGATGAAGCCAGCCTTCATAGATATGTGCAGTGATTTGGCCAAGATACCTGTGATTCCAGGTATACCCCTATTTGAAGGAGAAAATGTTATGAATGACCTGCGTGTGTACATGCACAGGTCAGAGTTGCATGCCAGGCACTTTCTCTTTCCCACATTAGTGAACCTGCCCCAAATGTAACGCTCTCACACAAGTAGCAAAACTCAAGAGAACTCACATAGCAAAAACGCATGTGCGAATTAGCCCTGGAGTTATGGCTGGCTGTGTGCATATGGATCAGTTTGCATGTGTGTAAGATGGTCACGTGGTAGCATGTTAATTCTTTGCACAAGGGAATTAGGACACTGATGACACAAGTTCTCCTTTTTACTCCTTGTTAGCTCAGTTTAGCTCCAATCTCTTTCAGGGCTTGATTTGAGGTACTCAGAGTGGGCAAAGCCATGCAGTTGCTGTTTCTCTCTTCTGGGCTGGTTTTCAGCCTCTTGCCAAAATATCCGCTTGTTCATTTGAATGGTCTGACGTGTTGGTCTCACTGGTCAATGTGTGTTTGCAAACCTATTATTTAATATTTCCCAAATACGTACAAGTAGGCTGGGAAGATGAATAGACTAGCCTTCTCCACTCCATCATCTTCTAGATCGATTGGAATATAGTCCCCATCTGTCTGGACATGATGGGAATTGCATTGACAGGGAACCAGCTTGGAGAAGTCTGGAGTACACTCTCCACTGTGTGCATCCTCTCTCCTGAGCATCTGTGTTATCGGTGTGGTGCGCAGCAGAAACCAGAGGCTGGTCTGTGCAAGCTCTTGAGCTTGGCCACAGCACTCTGCTTTTGCCAAGAACCTGTCTCTGCCTAATTTATGCGATAGAGTTGTTTGAGGATACCCACGTGGCATGGATGAGCTGTAACCTGAAGCCTTGGACAGAACTCTCGAAGCAGTTGAACATGTTTTCAAGTAAGGGATGGGAAGTGTTGTGTGAACTCTCAAAACTCTTTAAGTGACTGGTCTCCAGAGACCAGCTCTCCCTCTGTGCCTTCAGGGCACGGTTGGGCAAGCTTCAGGGTTCTGGGATCTGGTTCATTTTTGTTTTATAAGAGCACTGAGATCTTCCAGCCAGCACCAGCCACCAAATGGCGGCTTAGGGATGCTGTCAGTTATGGCCTTTACTCCCTGAACCCCATGCACTGAGACATATACGCCCTCATGTGAGAGTTACCTGTGCTTATGGATTTGAATGCTGTGCTCTACAGCCAGTCAGCAGAGCTAAATAGAGTACCTGGTCCAAAGCGAGGAACACTCAGGCTGAGAAATAAGCAAGTGGTACCCCAAGGAAAAAAGTGAGCTATGGTTGTAATAAATACATATCTCCCTTGACTTGACAGTATAAATGCTTCCTTATAAAACTAATAAAGCGGAAGTTCTTTCTAAGCTACCGAAATCTGAGCAATCCTCCTCCAACTCCAGCATGGATGTGTTGGGATACACATGGTGGCAGCGGCTGTGCACCCTTCGTGTCCCCCCCCCCCAGCGTTTCTGCCCTGGGCCAACTCCCACCCACAATGTAGAAGGTTTGAACTGAAGCCCACCATCCTGCCTCTGCTTACTCTGAATTAAGCCCCGCTAAGTCCAGTCAGGTTCCCTTCTGGGTAAATCTGCACAGTTCAGGATGCCTCCTTCTGGGTTCCACTCCTCTTTGTGTTGGGCTGAGCTGAACGTTTGGCTGTGACGTGTCAGCTGAGCAGTCTGGCAAGAGTAACTAATTCCACCTAAAGTGAGCAGATGCTTTAGGGGAATGCGGCTCTGGCAGTTTTTTAACATGGCTGAAGAAGGGCGATTACTTGTTTATACAATGGCTTTGAAACAGTTACGAAGTGGGGACAATGTTGCCCCTCTGCTTGAATGGGTCAAAATCAGTCAGATTGGGATTGATTTCAGGAAGGCAGCCTGAAGAAGAAGAGGATGCTAGAGAAAAAGGGATTGTGATGAGTGGAGCTTGTTACAACCCTGTTGCTGCTTGGGTGAACCATGGCGATCTCTGAGGTTGCCCTTCCCCCAATTACACAGGTGTTAAAAATGGCATACCTGCCTCCTTCATGCATCTGGTCAACTTAGGTAAAGCCACTTGCTCCTTTGCAGCAGCTAAGGTGACGTACAAGACAGCAGAGTGTCCATGCAAAAGCCTGCAGAGAGACCCAGGTTTGGCCCTGGCATCTCTAGGTAGGGCTGGAAGAGCTGCCTGAAACCACAGAGAGACCCTGCCAGTCCATGTTGCCTGTGCTGGATGGAATGAACCAAGCTGGACTCAGCTTAAGGCAGCTTCCTCTGTTCCAAGACTCGGCTGCAAGCTTACATTTTAATTCAGCAGAGATCCATAACATCACTGAGCCATCACCATGCTGTGGATTTGCAAGGACCCACCTCTCCTCCTTGGTTTTCCGAATAACTGTAGAGACAAGGCTGAGTGGTTTTCACTTTCAGCTGCTAACACACATAGAGTTTGTCCCGTCTCATGACCAGCCTTTGATGGCTGTCATCACCCAAGTACAATGGCTGTTTGCCCAGCATCCCAAAAGAAAGGACACTGTTTTTCATAAAAGGTAGAGGCTAAGATCCTCAACCTTTTAGGGTTGCCTGTGGGCACATCTGGGATTTTGGGAACCCATTTTCTCGAGCTGGCTGCATGGTGGGTGCAGCCAGTCACCAAACACCCATTTCAAAGAAGACAAAATTCACCCAGCATTTTAATGGTTGAATGGATTTGTGTAGGTGTGGGTGTGTGTATGATTATGTTATGTACAGGTGTGGTTTTTGTCTTTTGTAAGTTGTCTAGAGACCTGTCTCAGGTACTAGAAGGGATAAAAATGTTTTAAATGAATAAATAAAACAGTGGGAAGAAAACCAACACACCCCAGAAGCTCTGCATAGGGCAGGGTAGGGTTCTCAGTTCCAAAGCACCGATCCATTCTTTGCAATGCGTGCTTTTGCTGCAGCGCCTCTTCTGTGGAAGGCAGACTTCAGAGGAAAGCACTGGGCTGCAGCCACCCATCATTTTTATTTTCCAAAATGCCTCCAGGGCAGGATACAGCAAGATGAAAATAATACCAGGAGCGTTCTTCCGTTGGCAGCGTGATGCAAATGAAGCAGTCAGTGGCACTGATGTGGTCCCATTTCCTGATGATCAGGAAGAAGGATGACCAGGGGCCGAGGTTTCGCCCAGTGGTGCAGTGGAGGCAGGGTTCCCTGCGACACAGGCCTCCCCTTCTTTTATTGGCAGGGACCCGGGTACCTTCGGCCGTCCCGTTTTTCCCCTCAGGCTTCCCTGTTCCCTCTGAGCTTAGCAGCAATCCTGACATAGCTGGGGGTGGGGAGAGGAAATCATACCTTGTTGTTGCTTTAACTGTTTTGTGCCATGGAAGGTGCTGGCTCCAGTTCCACCGGGGCGATGTAGCCACTGCCGTTCTCAATCTGATGGTTGAAGGTATTATCCATGGTGCTGAGCCCTGCCCCCATAGAGGCTCCGCACATCTGGATAATACCTTTAAAATTCAGGCTGAAACCCCTTGCTGGAACCTGTCAGCTGATCTGGGGTGGGGTGGCCTTCAGCAGACAGTTAGGGATCATTGATTTCCTGCGAGCCCTGCTCCTGGAAGGTGAGGACTGCTGCAAATGGATCTGTGCAGCTCCTGAAATGTTGGGACGCCCCTTGGGGTTACAGCCAGGGCTCTGCACGGACACAGGGTAGCATCCATCCATTTGAGGTTGCTCTGGCCAGCCTGGAGTGAGATGGCTGCCCCAGAGCACATGATGCCCATGCTGCAAAAGGGCTGCAGATGGACAATAGCTGATTGTCGTTCTGTTTTTCCCACCAAGGAGGGGAAGAGGTGTGTGTGTGTGGCAGGGAGGTGGTGGTTCTGCCTCAGGTGCGAAAATAACCCAGCTGCTTTTGAGTACCGAGTGGGCATGGGATGAAGAGGCGCTAGAATCTAACTGTGCCTCTTTGGATGGAATAGTTTTGCACCATGTAACCCTGCCTACCTCCGGGGATTCGTTTTTTGTGGGGGTTACTGTTAGTTCTGAAAACAGGGCCCCCGTCTGTGGGGCAGCTGAAACAGATTGGGAACGCTTTTGTAACACTCGCGCGTTGCTCCTCGCCCCCCCCCCAGGCTTCTTGTCTGTCCCACTGTCCAAT